CTCACTAATGCCTAGGATATCAATCTTGATGTGTTCCATTTCATTTTTGACAACTTCCAATTTTCCTAGATTCATACTTTGTACATTCCACATGCCGATTATTAATGGATGTTTGCAGCTGTTTCTCCTCAGTTTCAGTTGTTCCACATCAGCAAATGGAGCTCTCAAAAGCTTTACTTTATCCATATCAGTAAGGTTGGTTCTACTCTGATGGTGCAGCTATTTCCCAGTTGTATTTTGAGAGCTTTCCAACCTATGGGGCTTGTCCTCCTGCACAGTATCAGACAGTGTTTCAGGCTGTTCATAAAGTTGTGCAGTAATGTATCTGACAGTGCTTCTCTGCTATTCATAAAGTTTTCCCTGGCCAATTCCTTGAGAAGTGGATGGCCTCTTTCTTCTTCTTAGTCTGTCTCAGTCTGTAAGCTGTGGTGAAACCTGTGCACCATGTGCAATCCTGCTGATGTTTGAAACACTGGTGTCGCAGCCCCAAGCCTCACAGCAACGTGCAAGCCACCACAGTACGACAAACTGACAGACAAGTTTGTCTCCCTTAGCTGTTTGAAACCTTTCCACCCTCCCCTTACCTGGATCCCTGGTGCTGCTTGCTCTATTGTCCCTCTGGCTTTTGTTTCCTCCACTTTCCTGCCACATGGGGGTGGGGCCTGGGTCCCTCCCATTACCTGGATCCCTGCTGCTTCTTGCTCTCTTGTCCCCCTGGCTTTTGTTTCCTCCACTTTCCTGCCACATGGGGGTGGGGCCTGGGTCCCTCCCATTACCTGGATCCCTGCTGCTTCTTGCTCTCTTGTCCCCCTGGCTCGGCGTAGTACATCATATGTGGTTGTCTGATTCGTAATGGCCAAAACCAGTCCATTTTAGCTTAGGAATTCCTAGGATATCGATCTTTATGGATTCCATTTCACTGTTGACAATTTCCAATTTTCCCAGATTCATACTTTGTACATTTCAGGTTCCAAATATTCATGAATGTTTACAGCTGTTTCTTACCATTTTGAATCATCCCTCTCAGCAAATTAAGCTCTCAAAAGGTTGACTCCATCCATGTCAGTGAGGCCAATTCTGCTTTGGGGAAATAGCTCTTCCTTAGGTGTATTTTAGTGCAGCCAACCTCAGAAGCTCATCTTTGGGCATTATAACAGACAGTATTTCACAGTTTTTCCTGAAATTTTCCAATAATATCTCAGTGTTTCCCTGCTATTCATAAGGTTTTCAGGGGCCAGTTCTTCAGAAGTGGATGGTCCTATCCTCCTTCCCAGTCTTTCTTCATCTGGAAGTTTTGCTGAAACCTATCAACTGTGGGTGACCCTGCTAGTATTTGCAATACTGGTGGTATAGCCTCCAGCTTCACAGCAATACACAAGCCACTGCATTATAGCAAATTGATAGATGAGTGGCAGTTAGTAAGTATTTAAGTAACAAAATGTGTGCAGAAGGTTTTGATTCTAACAGAGTCCATCTTCTTTAGTTTTGCTTTAATTTTAGATTATGATTTTCATGTTATATTTTAAACATCATCCCCATACCGAATGTTACCTAGGTTTTTCCTGTCTTGTCTTCTTGGAATTCTGGTAAACAGAAGAAGATACTTCTATTTGTTTGAAACCCTTTTCTTGACTTTTTACAATAAGTGGTCTCATACAATATTTATCCGTTTGTGATTGACTGATTTCAGTTAGTATAATGTCCTCTAGGCTCATCCATGTTATGAGATACTTCACAGATTCATCATTTTTCTTTAACATCTTGTAGTAGTCCATTGTGCGTATATACCATAGTTTGCTTATCCATTGATCAGTTGATGGGGATTTAGGTTGTTTCCATATTTTTGTTGTTGCGAATAGTGTTGTTATGACCAGGGTTGTGCATGTAGCTTTTCATGTCATAGTTCTTATTTTTCTAAGATAGATATTTACACAGTAGGACTGCTGACTCATAGGGTATTTCTATTTCCACCTTTTTAAGGTAGCACTGTACTGTCTCCCATAGTGTTTGTACCACTTTAAAGTTCAACCAGAAGAAAGACGGTTCAGTTTCAGTTTGAGAGAATTTTGGAGTATAGCCTGTGGAGGGCTAGTGTGTAAATAGACAATTTAACAAGCAAACTGTTGCCACTTCATCTTACTTAGAACATTAATTTGGTCACATTATGTTTATCATGTTGTGCAGTTGATACAAAATGCAATTAGTAACCTTGTGAGTCAGGAAACATGAGGGGCCATTGTTCTTGTTCCTGCAGAAGTGTTTTTTTCATTTTGCAGTATTGATGTGTATCAGACAATGTAATAGTTTATATTTCTGGGGGTACTAAACCAAACCAAACTCATTGTCATTGAGTTAATTCTGATTCATAGCAATCACTTCTGGGTTTCC